CAGTTACAGTCTCCTTTTAACGTCAATGAGAACGCCTGACTTGTCATGACGCAGACCTACCTTGCTCATCCTTTGAGTTTCCGCACCTGATAGAAAGAAAGCAACGACAACAAAAATCAAGATCACAACTAGAATAATACGACGGAAGAGATAACCAATATACAAATTCAAAGGTAATAATTTCCTTTAAAAACATGATTAAGAAGAACCTGCCCCGGCCACTCTTCTCACTTTTTCCCCAGGGAAACACAACCACAAGGTCATGAGAACAACAGCAACAACAGCAAAAAGCAATCTTTTTTTAATTGCAAGTGACATTTTGACTACCCATTTGTTTAAGTCATAGTTGGAGTGTGTTAGCAGATGCTGATATGTCTTACTGTCCTTATGTGTAAATAACTAGTGCACGGCTGAGAATTATTTTCCTTAGGCTATTTGGTTCAACCAATTTTCCTGTTTAAATTAAATGCTTTCTCTTATGGGTGGGGAATTTTACTCTCATGTCTTTGATTTAAAGAGTCCAGAGCCTATACATGTAAACTCGCCCAAAAAAGTCAAGGAACAGCTTGAGTTTTCACCTGTCAAATTCAAACTTCAATATCTCACAAACCCGTTATAATCAGTCAACCAAACTTGGCACACGCACTGACGACTAGACACAGTTTGCCTGTACGGCACATTTGCCAGCACCAGCTTCATAGCGACGGCGCAGGGCATTCTGAAACACAGCCGAAAAGCATGAAAAACGGGCGAAATTTCTCTGATTCAGCAACATTGCCATAGGGACTGTTAGCTAAAACTAAGCTTGGCATGTGCTAAACAGATGTCTTAACTATGAATATTGCTCACTTACAACCCTTTATAAGCCGGCGTTTTTCCTGCCATGTTTCATTACAACATTATGGTCCAACAACACTCGCTGCCTGACGTCGACAGAGGACGAGCCCATACCTGGCTCCAAGATGGCTCCACGTTCCCAGTTGTTGCACATCGATTTGGGGTGTCTCCATCAGTCATATAGAGGCTGCAAGAACGATGGCAAGCGACCGGAAGGGTCCTGGACAGGCCTCAACCAGGACCGCCCCGTTTGACCAACAACAGCGTCGACCGGTTCATCGTCAAACAGGCCGTGACGTCACGAACCACCTCTGCAAACTGGATCAGGGACCAACTACGGGTGACAGACAATGTCCACGAGAGCGAGGAGACGGTAAGGAACCGTATCCGTAAGAGCCAGGTTAGCTTCTTGTGTCCCTTCCAGGTGCCCAAGGCACACGCCGCCCAACAAAGCAGCTCGCCCGGCGTGGCCTGCTCGCCAATAACAGTGGGCACATTGTCAGTGGGACCAGGTAGTCTTTTCGGACGAATCCAGATTCAACCTGTTGCACCCAGACAGGCGAGCCCACTTCTGGAGGCGTCGAGGAGAGCTGTTCCACCCTGAGTGCATCCAGCAGGTGGCGCTCTACTTTGCAGGGTCCGTTCTGGTGTAGGAAGGCTTCTCAGCTCACCACAGGACCCCGTGTACCATATACAGGGTAATTTGACCTCGGCAAGGT